TTAAAAAAAAAAAAAAAAGCAGATGATCGGGGCGATTATTTATGAAAGCCCTTTTCTGCCACTGAATAAAAAAATTAAAAAGGTAATTGCGACTTTTTCTCGCAATCGCGAGTTTACATCTCAATTCTGACTTCACAATCGCGAGTTTACATCTCAATTCTGACTTTTCTCGCAATCGCGAGTTTACATCTCAATTCTTTTTTTCTCGCAATCGCGAGTTTACATATCAAAATTCTGACTTTTTTCTCGCAATCGCGAGTTTACATCTCACAATTCTGACTTTTTTCTCGCAATCGTGAGTTTACATCTCTCAATTCTGACTTTTCTCGCAATCGTGAGTTTACATCTCTCAATTCTGACTTTTCTCACAATCGCGAGTTTACATCTCTCAATTCTGACTTTTCTCACAATCGTGAGTTTACATTTCACAATTCTGACTTTTTTCTCGCCATTGTGAGTTAAGAATTGTGAGATATAAACTCACAATTCTGAGAAATAAAGTGAGAATTGAGAGATATAAACTCGCAATTCTGATTTTTTTTTTCCTCAGAATTACGTTACATATATTCAAAATTGCGATAAAAAGTCTGAATTGCAATTCTGACTTTTTTCTCGCAATTGTGAGATTATATCTCGCAATTCTGACTTTTCTCACAAACCTGACTTTTTTTCTGAGAATTGTGAGATATAAACTCACAATTGTGAGTTATAAAGTCCAATTTTGAGGGGAGAAAAGACTATGTTCTCAGAATTACAAATTTATATCTCATAACTGTCTTACCTCACAATTGCGTCTTATACAGTCAGAATTGCAAGATATAAACTTGCAATTCTGAGAAAAAAAGTCAGAATTTCAAGTTTATATCTTGCAATTCTGACTTTATCTCTCAGAAATGAAAGTGAAAAGTGAAAGTGAAGTGAAAATGACGTGACATGTGACCAAGTATGGTGACCCATACTTGAAATTAGTGCTCTGCATTTAACCCATCCAAAGTGCACACACACAGCAGTGAACACACACACACACACACACACACCGTGAACACACACCCGGAGCAGTGGGCAGCCATTTTTGCTGCTGCGCCCGGGGAATGAGTATATATCTTACAATTCTGACTTCATAAGAAGCAGTTGCGAGTTTATATCTTGCAAGCTTGCATCATGCAATTCTGAGAAAAAAGGTCAGAATTGTGAGATAAAAAGTCAAATTCCTTTTTTTATTTCTTTATTCCGTGGCGGAAACGGGCTTCCATCATTTTTTCCTGTCAATTTGTGTGAAGAAAACGTTTCTTGTGTTGAATTTATGTCTGTCCAGGTTGACGCAATAATAACGTATTAACGCAGTGCCGTTAACGTGGGTTCTATTATAAACCAGGTTGCCAGATCTGCAATTTTCCCTTAACAAAACATTATTTGTAATGCGCCTCAAATCCTGTACATTTTATCACAAAATTCAAACAATAAATGCCATTTTGACGCTCTTAAATGTGGCATGATAGATCGCCGTAGTGCCTCAGTTCAAGCAGCATTGCGAGCCTCTTCCACTTTACTATAAGTTATAGCACAAAATAAACGAATGAACATAAGGTGTTGAAAGATACAGTACAACTTACTGAAATGTATCATATCTCATAATCACTCAGAGTTTCAACAGAAAGACATCAATAAAAAGTTTGTAAACAGTGTCACTTAACGTTGCATTTATCTCAGGAAAGTTATCCAGTGTTCACAGTTCGTTAGTTAGCTATAAAATTACAAGGAAGGAGCTTAAATACTGTTAAGTATTATATATGTATGTTTGAATAAATCCGTAATGAAGACAAGTTATGAGAACTACCTTGTGTGCAATTAAATGTTTTTATTTGAGTGTGATTATGTCTGAAAATGAATAGCATTGAATATAGACTAATAGTGTTGATGTTAATTTTAACCTCTAATCTAATGTACCAAATGAGAGGGTTCCCTGTAGTTTACAGCACTGGTTGGGAGAGATTTTTTCCCCTTAAGAAAACGATTGATATCGGCCGAGTATTTTCCTATCGGTGCATCTCAGTGAAAACATACCGACACGCCACTGTAAAGTGGCCACTGTGCCTTTCATCGACTGTTTCTGTATTTTCATTCACATTAACTTTTATTAAATCTCTGCACAGATCGATCATCTTTCTTTCTTTGAATAAACACTTACAGAAAACACATCTAGTTCAGGTCTGGACGGTAACACTAGTTAGTGGAGTAAAAAACACCTACTAGTCACCAACAGCACATTTACACAAACTCCGAGTAGTAACATTTACAAATAGTGCAATACTGTAAAAAAAAAAATACAGTGTTGGAGTTTTTATAAAGTAAATATAAATCGGTCCAAAATGTCACTGGACAAAGTAGTAAGTTCAGTAGTTTCCTGGGTGGATTGTAGAGAAGTAACCTGTTCATCTGTTTAACCCTTACAGAAATGTATCATATTTTCTAACAAAGTGATAAAACTGTAACTGTGTATTGTGGTGGCTTCTGTCGCTATTGTGAATAATCTTTCTCAGAGTCTTGGGATTTTGATGCCAGAAGAGATTTTATTTTCAGAGACAATAAAACCTGAGAGAACTCTGCAGAGCAATCTCCAGACTCTTTTTCTGTACTCTCTTATATACGGTTCGTTCTCTAGGCTTGTTTAATGGTTTCATTCATATTTGTTATGGGATCATCACGATGCAGTCATGAGGCCTTAATTTTATGTTCTGTGAAAATAAGGGCCCCATTATGTGCCATCATGTGCTTATCATGTACTTCACCATATGTCTGCACATTCCATTCTCATACAGTTTTCTATACATGCAGGCAAATACACATGATTATATTAGTAGAATAACTTAATACATAAATGGCCACATTAATTTACATTTTGATTAATTAAAATCTTCTACAGTATCAGCCACACTGGAGATCCATATTAATATGTGTCTTTACAGTAGGAACAATAACTGCAGTGACTGGTAAAAAAAAAACGCTTTTGTAAAGGAAAAATGTTATATAGCTGAAACTGACGTCAAATAGAAATATTTTATATTGCATATATATATATATATATATATACACATATATAAACCAGATACTCTATTGGTCAAAAGTGTGGAATAAATATGGATTTTTAAAAATGTTTTAAAGAAGTCTCTTCTGCTCACCAAAGCTACATTTATTTGATCAAAAATTACAGTTCAAAATAGTGAAATATTATTACAATTAACAATAGCTGTTTTCTATGTGAATATATTGTAAAACGTAATTTATTTCTGTGATCAAAACAGAACATTGATAATAATCAGAAATGTTTCTTGTGCAGCAAATCAGCATATTAGAATGATTTCTTAAGGATGATGCTGAAAATTCAGCTTTGATCACAGAAATAAATTTAATTTTTTAACAGATATTCACATAGAAAACACCTATTTAAAATTTTAATAATATTTGCACTGATAGTGTAAGTGTATACTGTAAATATAAACATCTCTTGGAGGAGAATATTTAGTATTATGACAGATTAATATGGAATCAACCAGTTTATGGACTTTAAATGGTGACAATTCAAACAAACATGAAAGTGCGATACGTGTTTGTAGCCGTCACATTGATTATACAATACAATACAAGAAAGTATCATAAAAGTACCATAATGATATCAGAGTTTTTGTTGAGTTGGCACTGTGAGTTCTGCAGAGGTAGACTGAGTCTAAACCAGGAACAAATCAGATCAGCAAAACTTGGTTCAGTAGAAACCTTGTGTATAAACGTCTCATGAGATCCAGTGATGGAGAACCACTCCTGAGCGATTCCTCGTTTCATCATCACATCCGCTTATAGACCAGAGTTTGTGTGCTGAATGTCTGCTTTAATAAGGAGCAGTTCAAACAAAAAACACTAAAATTAACTCATTTACTCAACCTTCATGTCATTCCAACCCCGTATGAGTTTCATTCAGCCATTAAAAACACAAAAAAAGGAGAAAATCCAAGGAATCTTTATATAATCTTGTCTATATAATGAAAGCAGACGGTGATCAAACTCGCTCTCTCATTCATTAACATTAGTAACTAACAATGAACAATACTTTTTGATTTGAATGTTAATTTCAACATTTACTAATGCTTTTTTTAAAAAAATCAAAAGTTCTATTGGTTAACATTAGTTAATGCACTGTGAACTAACATGAACCAGTGTTATTTTAGTATCACGGAGATACTATTATATTTGAATTAGATTTTATTTTCATATTTTGTTTTCATTTTAGTTAAAGTTTTAGGAATTTGTAATTTCGTTAGTAATTTTGTGTCGTTATATTTGAATTAGATTTTATTTTCATATTTTGTTTTCATTTTAGTTAAAGTTTTAGGAATTTGTAATTTCGTTAGTAATTTTGTGTCGTTATATTTGAATTAGATTTTATTTTCATATTTTGTTTTCATTTTAGTTAAAGTTTTAGGAATTTGTAATTTCGTTAGTAATTTTGTGTCGTTATATTTGAATTAGATTTTATTTTCATATTTTGTTTTCATTTTAGTTAAAGTTTTAGGAATTTGTAATTTCATTAATTTTTCATTTATTTAAAAAAAATATATATATATACACATTTCAGTTTCAGTTCTTTTAGTACTTCAATTTAAACTAAATAAAAATGTTGCATTGGCAGCTGAACTAAAATAAGTTTAATTTCACTTTTTTTTTCAGCAAATTTGTTTTTCAAGTAATACATTTTTTATGGTTTTATTAATTTGATGCGTTTTGTCATTTTTGTATGTTATTTAAATATCTATATAGTTTTTATAAATTGTATTTGTTTTAGTTTGAGTTATTTTAGTACTTAAACTAAATGAAAATGAGAAATGCTGCCTTTGCAACTATTTGAAATAAAAAATATATATAAAAATATAATTATCATTACTTAAAATAAGTTTATTTTATTTCAAGTAATGCTTTTTATGGTTTTAATTAACAACACTGAGCAATCATTTTTATTAATGAGCATTAATAAATATTACTAAATCCTTAAAAAATATGTATATTATTGATTGTTAGTTCATGTTAGCTAATGCATTAACTGAGTGAGCCAATGAGATTCGAGCGAAAGATAATCAGTGAACAGCAACTTAAATCGATTTAGTCTAGTCTATTATTAGGGTTGGGTATCGGATACTTCAATTCCACCTATTAATTCCTGTGTGCTCATTTTTTTAGCTGGCGAAAAGGGGCTGTTAAAATGTATTTGTCTTTGAATCATTCATTCAAGAGATTCATTCAAAAACACTGATTCATCCAGTAATGACACAAGTATATCTTCAGTGAGTCATTGAATCATTCCATTCATAAATTCCATTTATTTCCAGATTCCAGATTTTTTTAGTTGTCTAATATTTTTTTCTTCAGAATTGTGAAAGAACTACAACCTCCATTTTTTTAAAAAAATTGTGAAAGAATCACGCAGCTCTATTTTGCACACAAACAGCTCTTAATCGAGTCCAGTTTTTACGTAGCCGGCTGATTTTTGTTTATGGTATTCAGCAGAAATTAAATGTTTTGCAAAAAGAGACACAGAATAAATATATTTGATATCTAAATGTTTGACTTTATTTTTTTAACCATACTGGAATCGAAACTGGGAATCGATAAGAATCGGAATCGGAATTGATAAAATTCAAATGATACCCAACCATAACTATTATTCACACAGATGACTGCAGAAGACTTGTGATTTCATGCACGAGTGATATGCATTTTGATGTTTTACAAAACAAAGGCACACAGGTTTAACTGACATGAGTTTAAGTAAATGATTGTTTTTGTGTGAACTGTCCCTTTAAGAGTTTGTAATGTTTACAGCCTTACAGATAATGAACTATAATGCATGCATTGACGATCATGACGCTGTGTTGATCATATGACCTGTCCTCGTGAGTGTATAATGATGGCGTTGGAGTTAGCTTTTGGCGTCAGTCCGCCGCTGCTGCACTGGAAGTAGTTGGTAGTGGCCTCGGACAGGTGATAGGAGTCCACCGCACAGCTTTCTTCTCCTTCAGGAACTCGCTCTCGCTGTATGTCTTTCTCACGCTCCGCTCGGTGAATCTCTCGGCGAGAGCCACGCTTCCATCCTTCACCGATCGCATCTGCAGTCGGACCCGAGCTCACGGACGGAGGAGGAGGACTCTGATCCCGGTGAAGCCCTGAATCCTGCAAGAGAAACAACATCATTGAAGGATAGCTGTTCTTCACCTCGGGCTGTATGATCATATAAAATAGTCGCAGTTTATTCACTGCTGATGTTAAAACAAGAATCATAAAGATGTACAGATGTTATGCAAGTTGATATTCTAATCATGTTTTTTTTCCCCCAAACACATCTGACCAATTCCAAACCACATCAATCTTAACTAGATAAAAAAGTTTGTCAAGACAAACTTTAGGTTGGCTTGAGAAAGCCTAGCCTGAAAGTTTAAAGCAGTTGTTAAAGCCTGAAGTTTGAAAATTTAGACAGATTAGATAGATGTTGATAACATGTTTCTAGCATGATTAGTATGTTTTTAACATGATTGGCCTGTTACTAGCATATTGCTGGCATGATTAGCATGTTGTTAGCATGATTAGCAAGTAACTAGCATGTTGCTAGCATGATTAACAAGTTACTAGCACGTTTGCTAGCATGTTACTAGCATGATTAGCATTCTACTAGCATGTTGATAGCATGATTAACAAGTAACTAACATGTTGCTAGCATGATTAGCAAGTAACTAGCATGTTGCTACCATGACTAGCAAGTGACTAGAATGTCGCTGACATGATAAAAAAGTTACTACCATGTCACTAGCATGTTTCTAGCCTGATTAGCATGTTACTAGCATGTTGCTAGCATGATTAGCATGCCACTAGCATGTTACTAGCATGATTAGCAAGTGACTAGCCTGTTTCTAGCATGTCGCTAGCATTTTCCCAACATGATTAACATGTTACTAGCATGTTGCCAGCATGATTAACAAGTAACTAGCATGTTGCTAGCATGTTTCTAGCATGATTGGCATGTTACTAACATGTCGCTAGCATGATTAGCAAGTTACTAACATGTCAACTAGCATGTTGTCTAAGAATAATAATAATAATAATAAGCTTAAGTAACAGATCAGTAGGTTGGCTTTCTCAAGCCAACCTAATAAGTACTATTAAATTAATCTTTAATCATTTATAAATGAAATATAATTGTCCATGAAGGATGGAAGTGAAAAACGCCTTATATTCAGGTGTGCATAATCATTAAGCAGGTTTTCTTTTACAGATAATATTAGCCAAAAAAAGATTTAACTCGGACTGAAAAGTAAAAAATTATTAAATGCTGATGAGAAGGATGCAATACTAGAAATAGCAAGGCATGACATGATGGAACAACAACATACAAACTATATGACAGTAGATAATTCTCAGGTGATTATGTGCTTTATTCAAAGTTAAACGTGTGTAATGTGAGTCTGAATATCATTTATAGCCATATTGAAAGCATCAACAGTTGACCTCAGTTCTTGAAAATAAATTAAAGCAAACTTGTACGTTAAAACTGTGAACTCACTGCGAACCAACGAGTGTATCCCATAACAAAGATGGTATCAGTCACTCAGTAACGATGCGAAAAAGATTTGATATTTATGAATTAGATTATAAACTAATCCATTTCGTTGCGAGTGCAGTGAGCTTCCAGAGAGGCTCCGCCCACACACGCTTCTGATTGGCTGTGATATTTGATTGATTCTGTCACGAGGTTGAGTAATTAATGACAGAATTTTCTCTTTTCAATTTTTGGTATCGGCCATTTTTTGGCTTAAGATTATTTTTGTCCGTCAATTTTAACTAAACTACCGCTGATAGTTTATATCATATTTACAAGCGCTTTTAGGCATGTTGTTTGGTCTTAGCTCATAAAGATAGGCACTTTATGGAGTTAATAAAGTGGTCTGTTGCAGATATGAGATATATTTTTTGGTGTTATAAAAGAAAGCTTTTGGGTTTTTTTGTGCTAGTCCTAGTTTGTTGTTGTTTAATTTTTACTAGCATGAGACGAAGACACATTTCTGATGCGCGTTTATACGTCATTAACAACTAGCTGTTCAGTAAAGTTTTGTACACACTGCGTAGAATTTCTGTAAATGCGGTTGTCACTGTATTTTTTGGGAGTTAATGCGGTTGTCACTCCCGTATTTTAGTGAATTATGGCCACGTACACACTGCAGCTAAATTCGGTTGTCAGTTCACCTTTTACTCATTAATCGCATTCTGTACACACATAATTCACTAAAATACAGGAGTGACAACTGCATTCGACAACCTTATCCTATTAATAAAAATACCCAAGAAAGATTGCTTGAAGAACACAGATAAACCATATATTGTCGCAATTGTATGTTTATTGTCTTCAAGTTTCCTCAGTTAAAATTTCTCTATCTGCGTTTTATTCAGCTACAGCGATAACTGGATGCTTTTTTTTATTAACAAGAACAAGTTACCTGTATATAACAAACATTATACATGATATAAACAATTATACACTAGAGGGGCTGTATACTAATACAGATTTATATAAAAATATTAAAGCGTTTACAAACTTTCACCGTTTTAATTGCCTTTTGTTTCATAGAAAATCGTATAGTATCAATATAATGCTACATTTCCTTCCTTAAAGAAAAAAAAAAACAAGTTTTTTTGCAGAAATTACATTTGTGAATATGAAATTTTGCATGTAAAAAAAATACGATTTATCATGTAAACGTGACTGTGCTTTTCTCTGATATTCTCTAAGATACCACATAATACACAATTCCAAAACAAAACGACTGTCAATATTTTGTACAATAAAATCACAGACATTTTGCCAAAATTGTTTCACAAAAGGGCAATACCAAAACAAATGTACCACAGTTTCAGGGCAACTGACACAAAAGGAGCACCTAAAATCAATATCAGATAAACTTTCACCGTTTTAATTGCCTTTTGTTTCATAGAAAATCGTATAGTATCAATATAATGCTACATTTCCTTCCTTAAAGAAAAAAAAAACAAGTTTTTTTGCAGAACTTACATTTGTGAATATGAAATTTTGCATGTAAAAAAAATAAGATTTATCATGTAAACGTGACTGTGCTTTTCTCTGATATTCTCTAAGATACCACATAATACACAATTCCAAAACAAAACGACTGTCAATATTTTGTACAATAAAATCACAGACATTTTGCCAAAATTGTTTCACAAAAGGGCAATACCAAAACAAATGTACCACAGTTTCAGGGCAACTGACACAAAAGGAGCACCTAAAATCAATATCAGATTTAAATTTTACCAAATAATATTTGGCTGGGATAACTGGATGCCTTTGTCCATATTAGGGATTTCCTGGAGCGTCATCAGTGCAATTACTTCTGCGATGCATATGTGAATGTATGCATATATAATGCATACAAAATTGTCTGTTTTGTCATACCTGGCAATAAAGCTCCTTCTGATTCTGATTCTGAATAAATACCAGAAATGATCGTGATATGTTTTTTAGGCCCATATCGCCCATCCCGAAGTAAAAGGTGAACTGACAACCGAATTTAGCTGCAGTGTGTATGTGGTGGTGAATGGGTTGATGGTGATGTTCACACACACACACACACACACACACTCACCAGTGACATGCTGCTGGATTTGACATAGGACTCAACTCTCCGTCTGCGCTCATTTCTCTCCTCCTCGATCTCTCTTATGTTTCTGCTGGATCGCTCCGGCCGGTACGCCGTGTATATGGCGGGACGTCCCAGACTGTCATACTCTCCGTCTCCATGTCTGCCTTTCACGTCGCTCAGCGTTGAACGATCCTACAGAGACATGCAGATGTTTATTCCGGTGATATCACACACACACACACACACACGTGTGCTGGTGTGAAAAACTCACCTCCACCGATAAAACACTGCCCTTCGTCACACTGTCCATCTGAATCAGTGAAATCTCCTCCAGCTGCAAACCACACAAACAAGAGTTATGGTGCATCACATTACTTCAAAAAGTATAACCAGGAATTCAGCTCTATTCCAAGTAAATTAAAGCAATAAGCCCCAAGAAGCCGTGGTTTACAGTGAATTTATAACAGCTAAGGGGCGTTAAAACCCCCTTAGCTGTTATAAATTCCCTGTAAACCACGGCTTCACGGGGCTTACTGCTTTTATAAAACGGTTATTCCATATACATAGTAAGGTTTCACAAAATAAAAGAGCAAATAAAGTGTAATGATATTAATAAAAACAGTATTCTTCCACCAAACAATGTAGTTCCTCAGAAACCCCCTACACAGTGCGCGTGCGATCGCAAAATCGAACTAGGACTGCGAGCGCTCATTCAAAGGGGATTTAAATACCCCACATATTGATAGCGGCGCCCTGATGCGCGAAAATTATATACAATATTAGACTGTTTGCGGGAGCGGATGGGAGCGGGCGGTAATGGTCAGAAATTCAGCAGAGCGGGATCAACAAGCCCCGTGCTATCACACAGCGGCGCAGTCAGTCAGTGAGCGCCGTAACAGATGACGTCAAATCTTGCGGGATTCCATAAATAAACCACACAGAACCCCACTATTCGGACAAATATACATAATGAAAAGATGATACAAAATTTAATACCTTGGAAAATGGCATTTAGGACTTTTTAATACTTTTTAAGGGTCTTCATTTTCTCTAAATTGATTTATCAACTTTTAATACTTTTTAAGGGCCTTCATTTTCTCTAAATTGATTTATCAACTTTTAATACTTTTTAAGACCCCGCGGACACCCTGCACACACACACATACACACTCACTCACTCACGGACACACACACTCACTCACACTCACACTCACACACTCACACGGACTCACACTCACTCACTCACACACACGGACACACACTCACTCACACACTCACTCACTCACACACACACACTTTTGGAGCTTTGGTGTTGCCGACTTTGCATCTAAAATATTTCTACTTGTTTTTTGGTCGAGCACCCAGTTGAGATCGATGTGCGTGCTTTTGCCTGCTCTTCACAGCAACACATTTACAATGAAACCAAAACAGGCAGGTGGACAGCATTTAAAACATAACTATCACACATTTTATAGTTTAATGTAAAAATCTTGTGAAAACAAGTCTGGGTCACATTTCACCATAAAAAAGAAGAAACTTTTTTTTTTGTTTTGTTTTTTTTTTTGCATTGTCACATTATTTTCATGACAACAATGAACAGTCTTCCTCCTTAGCTTTAAGTGTTTTTTTGCGTTTTATTATTATTCTCAAAGATGATTCTGATCAAAATAAAAATACTGTAGTACAAATATTTTTACATATGAAATCATCATAAATTAAAGGCAGGTTAATAAACACTAATAAATAAATACTGATTATTTGCATGATGGTAATCTGAATATACACAAGTTTATTAATTATCATGACAATAACATTGATGCAAAAAAAAAAAAAAACTTAATGCTCTTTATGCATGCAATAGTATGTCTATTCTTATTTGCATTATGACATTATTCATAACAATTAAGAACAACCATACTTTTGAGCTTTTTTTGTTATTTGTTATTACTCCCAAAGATGATTCTCATCAAAAATAAACTGTCATGCAATTTTTTTTATTTTTATTAAATGAGCATAAATTAAAGGCAAGAAAATAAACACTAATATATAAATACTGTTTTGTTTTTGCATTATTATAATGAAAATATGAGCAAGTTTTCTTAATTATCATGAAAACAATGCAAAAAAAATCTTAATGCTTTTTATGCAGAATTATTTCTTTTAATTTTGTGGTGAATCACAGGAATTACAGAAGTGACACATAAATATTAAATAGAATTTTTTTTTTAGAATTTTTTTTTTTGCATTGTGACATTAATTTTCATGACAATTAAGAATATTTTCCCTCCACAATCTCATTACTTTTGTGTTTTTTTAATAATTCTCATTATTGTCAAAGATGATTACCATTAGATTCTCATCAAAATAAAAATACTGTAATAGAACAAATTAAATATTAAATTAGCATAAATTAAATAGCACAACAAACAGTAACTAATATATAAATACTTTACATTAACAATAACAACATTAAGCTTTTTCTTGCATTATGATTTTAAGAATACAAGGAGGGTTTCTACATTATCATGAAAATAAAGGCACAATGCAAAAATGCTTTTTATGCAGATTATAATTTCTTATTCCCTTCATTAATTTACAGCAGTGAGACATTAATATAAAATCTACCAGAGAAAACGCCTAAAAGACATTTTACAGCTCAAATAGCATAAGAATTCATTTCAACACACCTGCCCTAAAGACTTCAACATTATCTTTGTTGTTTTTCACAAACTGACAGTCAAGTCTAAACTGTAGTCTGAGCCACAGATGTTATTAAAGTCTATAAGCTGTATTTAATCATGAATATTAATTGCGATGTCGTACCGCTGTCCTGAGATCACCGTTGAAGGAGTTGAGTCTCCTCATGGACACCTGTCGCGACAGACTGATCATCTCCTCCCTGAGACACAAACACATTCATGTTGCATGAGATATGTGACCCTGGAGCACAAAAGCAGTGTTAAGTCGCTGGGGTATATTTGTAGCAATAGCCAACAATACATTGTATGGGTCAAAATTATACATTTCTCTTTTATGCCAAAAATCATTAGGATATTAAGTAAAGATCATGTTCCATGAAGATATTTTGTAAATGTCCTACCGTAAATATATCAAAACTTAATTTTTGATTAGTAATATGCATTGCTAAGAACTTCATTCGGACAACTTTAAAGGCGATTTTCTCAATATTTAGATTTTTTTTGCACCCTCAGATTCCAGATTTTCAAATAGTTGTATCTCAGCCAAATATCGTCCTATCCTAACAAACCAAGCTTATTTATTCAGCTTTCAGATGATGTATAAATCTCAATTTCGAAAAATTGACCCTTATGACTGGTTTTGTGGCCCAGGGTCATATATTGCCTCTAGATGTATTTCTGAGGTGAAAGGTCACAGACTCACGTTCTGGTGCTGAGCGCTCGTTTAAGCTTCCTGTTCTTGCGTCTAAGGTGACAGTTAATTAAGATGATGGCGATCACGATGACGATGAGCAAAACCCCGGCGACAGATGCTCCTATGATGATGAGGAGAGTCTCTGACGGGCTTCCGAGAGCGTGAGCGGATTCAGGCCAACGTTCTGAAAAACAAACAACAAAAAACCCTAATGCATTCATTTAAGGTGAGACGCTACAGACAAAAACAGTGGGTTTTTTCATGCACTACTCAATTTTGAGATTATTTTGCTTCCGTAACATGTCTTGTTTCAGACTAGTGAAAAAATATCCAAGTGTTTATTTTATTGCACTTTATCTATTTACAGCTGTAGATTTCAATTCCAATTCATAACTTTAAAAGAGTTTTTTCTCTTACATACACCAAACTGTTTTATTTCTCTCTACATTCTGAAGGTTTGTTCATATTTCATTCACACTAATTTATATAACATTTTATTCCTAAAACATTGCAATAAATCAATTTTTTTTCTGTCTGTTGACAGTATTTTCTGATTTATAGAGAGATAAAAAGAGAAATCCAAAATACCCTCTGGAAAAAACCTTTAACTCTAATATGACAACAAAATCAAACAAGAATTTCAACCAATGTTCAGATTTATGTCCTGGAAATATATGCAAATTAGTGCATAATTAGACAGTGCCTTATTTGCATATTTCAACATAACATTTCAGAAAAATTGTAATACAAAACAATTATCTTAATGCATAAATCAGCTTGGGAAGGTATAGTGATATTAGTTACGATATTTACCCTATTCACCTGTAGTGTCTTACCTTTAATTTAATTTAATAAAATTAGGGTTAAAATAATTATTTTAAAAATTTAAATTAAATGTAAAAATTAAATTCAAATAAAATATAATAAATAACATTTAAAAATTAAATTAAAATAAAATAATTAAAAAATTAAACAAAATTAAATTAAATTAAAATCACCACATGGGGGCAGCAGAATCACAAAAGTAGACAAACATTGAGTAAATTAATGGAAAGTTTTTCCATTGAAAGGCCGTGGTGTTTCAGTTAGTTTCTGAGTCACTGCTGGCTGCGAATAAGATCTAAGTTTACACGATTGTGCAAATCATTATGAGGAAGTCAGAGAAACATGGGCTGCGTGGCAACGACGGCAGAAAAATATCCAAAGAAAATGACGAGATGGGCCACAAACACAAGAACAGAAATGTTTCCAGAATCAAACATCCTCTTGGTTATTTTCAGCACATTTGCTGCTGCCGCCAACAGAGCTGATGTTGGCACTACAATTTTTACTTACATTTCCAGCCTTCACTTTAAGATGAAAATATGTATTTGTAATAAAGAAACATAAGAGTAATCAGTGATGCTAATAATAATCTAGACACTAAATTTATTTTTATTTTTTTTATTAATATATTATTTTAAATATAATTTTTTATATACAAATATTTTAAAAAGTACTTTAAAATATATTAAAAAAAACAATTTAAAAATATCAAATTTCTATATAAAAATAATATATTTAATTGCGTTTTATTTTCTGTATAACATGAAAAACAAAACGTTTAAACAGGGGCTTTACCAGAATGAGTCAGAACAATAGAAATAAATGAGAGAATTCATTCTGTAATGATCATTAACATGATGACACTCCCATAGAAGGAAATCTTTAAGAGAAGTTTGTGGGGAAACTCATACGGTTGAGTTCATCGGTCAGTGTGACGATCGGGCCTTGTGTCATTTGTTTCTTCAGTAGATTAAACACCTACTTCCGATCTCCACTTTAAACTCTGCTTTAGCGATTCCCGCGCTGTTAGCTGTCTGGCAGACGTACACGCCTTCATCCGTCACGTTCAGAGGCCGAACAAACACCAGTCTGTCCT